TATATTTACACGTATTCCCATTTTTTCTCACTTTTTCTCTTTCATTGGGAAAACTGCCGGGAAAAAAAAAAAAAAAAAAAATAAGAAAAGAAATAAACATCTTTGTAAATCCGTTATTTTCTTCATTACGCTCAGAATCTAAAATAGCCATCAATTTTGATATGATACGCCGATTCGCGTATCAACGAGGAAACTGTTTATTATAATGATTATAATAGTGTTTTTCTTCAAAACCGTTGCATCACGAGCTATAAATATACATAATAATTATAGCCATAGATCATCGGCAATTATAATTTCTGACCATATTACCAGTAGATAATAACAGTGTTTTTTATTTTTTTTTTTTTTTAAATTTTATTATCGTTTATCGCAGTAAACCGCAATATTATAATTATTATATTTGGTTTTTATTTGTATTTGCAATATTTCACCATTTACGAGTTCTCTTAATTTATTATACTTGTCCACGATTAGTAATCGCTCGGCGCGCCGCGATAAACCGCCAACTTTGAATATTTATAACGAATAATATTACATACATTATTATTATTATTATTGTATAAACTCTGAAACTCGTCGAAGAATGTGAATATTTTTTATTTTTTTTTTTTTTTAGTTAAATTTTCATAAGGGGACGTACCTACCGCGCAAGGTAAAATCGTGAATCGTATTCCGCGGAGGCAACTCGGCGTGCCGAACGCAAAATCGAGACCGACCGGTGTTACCTATACGTATAATATTATTACACGCATACGTTTTAAATACGATAATAATATTATAGCGAGTTGTCCGGAAGTCGTCCGAAGGATAGGCGGTTTTCAAAATATTGTTTACCGACCTTCGTTTTCCTTATTCGAAAACGTAAGTTTATTGTATGATATTATTTCGAAACCTGGGAAGGGGTATCGATTTGTTCCCCTGCAACGTATTCACCGATACATTGTGTAGGCTAGTTAACTACCCAATACCGTGTAGTAGTGCAGGGTACACTAATCGCATCGGATTGTATTAACGTTTTTCAACAATTAAAAAAAAACGATCGGCTATAAAATGTAAAATTTCTATTTTTTCCGGGGAGGCGATGGGCGTGAACTTACTTTTGATTTTCGAATGACAACCTATTAAATAATAAATTCCATAAATAGATTGAATATTAGTTGGAATAAATTTTGGCATCGAACCGTTTGATTTCACGCAACTTTCCGACAAGATATTCCACTTTTAAGTTTGGGTAGAAGAAGAGTATCGCGGAACATTATTGAAACGCCGCGCGCCGCGCCGCCACACGAATGACGGCCACCATGAGTGTACTCACTTAAAAAAAAATCACCGACATCACAAAATATACTGAACTAACGGTATTTGTCTAACGAAAATTGTGTCGGTTTTACCAAATTAGTAATTTACATTAAGTTTACTGATTGGTTGTACTGGTTTTGTTTTTAGTGCGTGTCCGTGCATTACTTTTCTGCCAGAAATTTCACTTCGATCATAAATGTATAGCATCTAAATATCTTTCTCTTGTGTGTATTAACTGTACCGTTGAAAGATCTTTTCCCGATAAAAATGATTGAAAAACGTATTAAGATTTTCAATATCACAAAATAATCTTTTCAAATGAAAAATCTACAAAAAAAAAAAAAAATATTTAACGTGGACACGAAGAGGATAAAAAAGCTACCAGTGGCAGCGATTACAGTATTAGATAATACATATGTGTTCATAAATAAAATTATAAAACATGGTATTTTTTAATTTGTAGTGGCGTATTTACGGGGGGAATTCACGGCGTCCAGACCCTTCATTGGCCCCAATGGCATCTAAACAGGTGTCCAATATATATATGTATATTAAATTAATTATATATAATTAATATAATCTGAGCAAATAAAATAATTACTTATAAACACATGGTTATTTTTCTTTTAAATAATCACGAAACAAAATTTTTTATCATAATTAGTACGCAAGTTTGCCACTCATCGGTTGAAAATCGAAAAGATGCTCGTTATACATTTTAATCAATTTCGTCTATTAGTTTATCAGGAATCGTGATTATATTTGTTATTAATTTGGTACTGACCGACGTACGCTTTCTCGACAATCAACTGTAGTAGTTTGCTTTTGGAAATTCTGAAGTTTTTTACTCATTAGCTTTTTCGTAAAACAAACTCTATAATGACTATGAACAGATTACTCAATGATAACGACAAATGTGAAAAAAAAACTCAGGTATGTAAGGGTATGTGTCATGTAGAGCGAATCCTCAAGTATCTTCTGTAAAGGATGATTATTATAGAGTGACAATATTTATATCATTTATAGACGGTTTTATCAACCAACTTACTTCTCGATTTTTAAATCATAAATCAGTTTTTGAAGGCGTAGTTATTGATTTATCTACGTTAATATTATAAAAACTGGTATGGAAAATGAAAATTTCCAGTCAAAATGTTAATGTCAAAAGGTCATTTATGTCGATAAACAATATTGTTATGATTGAAAAGAAAAATTATTCAAATTTTTAAAAATCGCAGAAAATAAAATACCATGCTTTAACAAAAGTTTTAACCGTTAAACATTTTCTAAAAATCTATTTTACAAAATGGCTGTTCTGAATTATTTTTAAAAAATAAATTATAGTAAAATGTAAAATGTTTTATCTTAAGTTCCCTTCCTTCTAAAAAAAAAAAAAAAAATATTCATATACACCTAATCTGTAGCACAGAGGCATACCAAAAAATAAATATATCAAAAATATTAAATAGAACCAAAGTTATTTCAAGTAGCAGATCATCGTGGGACACCCTGTATAAGCCAATAATTGCATACAATATTAATTTAACAATATATTATGCACCGGTACAAAGTACATATTATTTTTGCATTGGAAAACTAGAGGTGGACACTCTTTGGCTCGAAAACTGTAAATTAATTTGTACCCATTTGGGCCCAGGAATTGGTAAATCAGACCCTGCCCAGGACCGGTGTATACAAACAGGTATGAGTTTTTTTTTTTTTTTTTTGGTCGTACGGGCCAAATTAGGCCTGTGTGACTTATTTGCCTACGGTCCGCGCGAGGCCCTTATTCCCGCACAAACTAAACTGACGCGTATTTCGGTAGACGAACGGCAGCGAAAATAAAAATTACAGTTCGTTCGGTAGTCGATCTGTACAGCGCGATACTGCTATTAAATACAGCGCGCTTGAAAAAAAAAAAAAAAAAAACGAAAAAAAAGAACCCCCATCGAAATTGAATTGCAGGCGCACCGGTACGGTGAAATAACACGTTTTATTATTTTCTACTGGAAATATTCCTCGAATCCGATGACTAAACTGAATCTCGGACACCCACCTCCCGTACCGCGTACGATTGATGCGGCGCGCGATACGACGCGTCCGTTCGCAATAATCGCGTCCGGGCGGACGGGTGCGCAATAAATTTGCCGTTTATATTATATTATTACCGCTGTCTGAAACGCATCGTGAACCCAACAATATAAACCGGCGGCGAGCGTGTATACAGGGCGATTGTTTTCGGACCGCCGGCAATTTTATCCCCGCGAGGTTCGCGAGGAAATTCGATTTCGTTTTTCTCCCAGACTTTCCCGGTGCCTACGGAATATTATTATTATTATTATGCTGGTACAACGATTCGATTTACAATGGTTTCGAAATGTCGCTATTATCACCAGTGTACGGGTTGTTAATAGTGTGTTTAAAAAAAAAAACAAACCAAAAGACCTCGTAAATATTCGAAACGTCCGCTCCGCGGGAGTGATGGATGGAGGGGGACTGTTAAGTACACGAAATGTAAATGGATTACCGATCAATGGGAGTGCTGCCGACCACGGTCATCACGCCGCCAGTAAAATCGCATTATTTTATTTATCACTAGTTTACCGTGATCCTGCCCGGCGATGTATGAATTAGAAATTGGCTTTCTTTTGGGATCCGGCTTTTAAACTACTGATTCCCGCAGTCGAGTCGGCCAGCGAAAACGGTTTCACGATTCACTCGCGGTTCTCATTTCCGTACATCACCTCGTGTTTTCCCGGGCACGCCACTGCGGTTGGGCGTAATACGTAATCGTATACGTTACACGCGTGCAAGTATCGCCGGCCCGGGCTCGGTCGATAAAAGAAACACTCTGTATTGCGGTCGAGTTTTTTTCCTTTTTTTTTTTCTGTTATATATCGCGTCGGCCGCCGCGACGATGTGACGGGTTTTTTGAAATATTTTCATTCTCTCGCAGAATCGATTGTCACACCACGCGTACGTCGCGTGTGCACGGCGCTGCACGCGGTAAAGGCGCCTACACGCGGGTAAATAATACGGGACAAAAAAAAAATAAAAATATAATAATAACAACACCTTTCCGTCCGTCGTCGTTCGTCGAGTTGACGCCGAGATAAACATCGGGGAATTCATAACTTGCGCGTTATCCGTCGTCTTCTTCCCGCGCTCCTTTTGTACCGTCATTATTATAATAACGATAATTCCGTCCGCTAATAAATAATAAGCGTTTCGGGTTGACAACCGGGCTGGCATTGTAAACGTACGATTTTAGGCTCGAAAGGCTCGTGTACACAATAACAACGCGGCGGTACGTAGGTATACGGCGATAATATTATAAACATCAATCATATTTTTATTCCGTTTATTAAGTTTCTTTTCTTTTGTTTTTTTTTTTTTTTTTTTTTTTTTTTTATTCCCCCGTAAAACGCGGCGAGACGGAGACACAGTACGTTAGCCGGTAACGCGCGTAAACCGTGACGGCCGTGGCGGACGAGCCGCGCGCTCGCGACACGAGAGTGCACGCAGCACCGGCGCGGCCGCAGCGTAGGCCCGGCGCTGCGCTTTGAGCGGACGCGCCGCGGCCGCCGCGCCAACTACAAAGCCGCCAATCCGTCCTGTCACAACTAATAATAATATTTCATAAACGCGTACGGAAATAATAATAAGGCCCCTTGTCTTTGTTCGCGGGCGAAAAACGTCATTACGGTATAGCGCGCGCGTGTGTGTATATTATTCACGTATAATGTACGACGACGAACAACGACAACGATAATAATACACGAAATTATTATCGCCGCCGCTCGCAGTCTCTACGCGGACGACGATGCGTTGAATTTTTTTTTTTTTTTTTCGTATTTTTCTCTCCTTAAACGAATAAATAATAATTATTATTACGTACGTACGTACGCCTACGAGCCGACGAGAAAAAAAAATAAAAAACATAATATACTGGCGGCGCGGTGTCGGTCGCACAATAACGTTTTCTCGGTAACGCGCTCGCGCGCCCGAAACGCCGGACCGCAGGCACACGGGCGCAGCAACGTGCCGGGGGTACCTGCGCGTCGCACACCCGCCGGATGCGTTGTAACGGCGGACGGGTACTATTGAGGTGCCCGGACGCGCCGCGTGACGCATGGGCGAAATTCAAATTTAAGGGACCGTCCGGCCGTTATCTGTGCGCGGTTCATTTTTATTTATTTTTATTTTTTTTTTTTTTTTAAAGAACGCGCAGCGGACGTTCGCTGAAAAATACCCCGCGGGGCCGTCAATACGCGGGTTTTCCAATTACGCGCGTGCCCGTGTTAAATTTAGCGAAATAGCGAACGGGTACATTTTCACTAGTGTTCAATTGAAAAACCAACGAAAAGCGAAATAATATCTATCTCAAAATATTGCCGTTATTCATTTAACGACGCCGATCGTTAAAAACTAACCGCGATTGCGCAAATGAAAGTATTTTCAAATCGCGCCCAATCAATACCGCGACAACATTATTTAATTTAATCAAAATGATTTTGTGTTGTCGATTGCGTTAGTTGAACATTATGATTTCGACAACCGCGGTTTTCAATATTTATCAATCGTTAATCGCGGATTACGATTTGGCCGCACTGCAGGTTAGGTTGCTGATTATATTTCTCAATCGGCGATCTTAAAACTAGCACCGTAACCGACGAAAAGGATACGTGCCCCCCTCGAGGAGCAAAACGATTTAATCCAATCCCGAGAGTATAGCATATGCTCCGTCTCTAAAACTGTAGCGGATTTCGGAATTCGTTAGACGGTTTATTTTGGGTGGATTTCCGGTCCAAACGGTTAAAAAAAAAAAAAGAAAAAAAAAAGAGCTGGTAGGCTATTAGTACCACACTGCTCGTGAACGATTATTATTGCTTTGTCTGTACGAAAAATGTATCGTGGCGGTAATGCGTATACCGGGTACCCGATACTGTAGATTCTATCGGATTTCCGAGCTACCGTTCGGGTGAAACGCTCGTGTGTTGTTAACATTGTTAATATTGTTCGGATCGTCCGTTCCCACAGACTCGGGTGTGGTCCGCGGGGAGCAGATTTAACGACAAATGTTATTATCATTACGAACGGCGGCGGCGGCGGCGTTCTCGGATCCCGCAAAAGCGTCTCCTCGCCCGCCCCTCCATCGCCGCGTAAGAGCATCGCAAACGCACGTTAAACCGGCGAAACGTGTCGGACCGTTCCGTCTAGCTGCTGGGCCCGAGACCCGCGAGACTCACCACCGCACCGGCGTAGTTCGCTGTGAGATATTATTAATAATAATAACAATAATAATTTGTTATAGCCCCACCCCCTCCCAATCATATACCTATACCTGTTATATTACGTTATTATTACAAACGGCCGCGCGTGACTGCGGCGGAAACCGCTCGTTTTGTTCCGGTGTGTCGCCGTAGAGTTATACCCGTAGTATTATATAATTAAGTGCGACGCGTCGTCTATATCATAGACGGAAACTCGAAGAGAATAGTTTTTTTTTTTTTTTTCCCTATAATCCGTAATGAAATTTCGCGGGTCTTGAATGCTTCATTTTTTGTAAGCAGGCCGCGGACGGCGGGCGATTCGTTATCGTGCGAAAGCTCGTCAAATAGGGCGAGTTAGGCGTAAGATCGGATTAAGAACTACACCGGGCTCGGTGCCAAATAATCAAAAAGGGCATCAGGCCATTTTTACGAATAATACAATTTTACCCTATCGAAATACAAATTAAATAAATGTAAAATTTTAAATTTTCTTTAATTATGTATGAGTGTCTTTTTACCTATAAAAATTGTATTATTTTAATAAAACAAAAAAAAAAAAACAAAAACAAAAATACAATATTTTTAAATAAATTGTATACTTTAAAATTGTTTATTTATCTGCAGTTTTTTTTTTTTAGCAGAGGTCTCTCTCTCTATGGTCAATAATACAGTACGAATTACAATAATAGGTCAATAAACCGATGTACTATATCACATTTGTAAAGTTAAATATGTATGGTACTATTGAAATTAAGCCAAACAAAATTTTAATTTGAAAATGTCCAATAAACATAATATTCTGAAATCATTCTGACGAAAACGGCCCCGTTGGCATTAGTCAAGTATTTTAAGACTTGGAGCACGGGCAAAAACTACAATTTTTAGTAATCGGCATGTAAAAAATACGCAAGAAAAAAAAGACAGGGGAAACTAATAAACAGCATCGTCTTTAAAAAAAAATAAAACCGGACCTAGGATAATGGGGATGGGTGCAGCCACTGTTATAGGTCAGTTATTGGGATGATAGTACGGGGGAAATTTAATGTAAATTTGTACGCAACGATTAACCATTGCTAACGCAGAAAACGATTCTGAGCTGGTTTGGTTGATAGGGTTGCTTTGTCAACAGTATAATGTAATATGTTATATTATGGTAAAATAATATATGCATTATATATTTTCTTTAAGTATTAATATTCGTTTTATATTGTACATATTTTCTCGTTTTTTCTACGTTTTTTCTCGGTTTTTCCAATGTTTTTTTTTTTTTCATTTTTTATTAAAACAGTTAGGAAAATCAAAAAGTACCCCTCCAATCAGATTCCCTACTGGAAAAAGTTGTATAATTGTAAATTGAAATAAAGTTGCTGGCATAAAAATTTGAAAACAAAAATCTAAAAGTATCGAAATAAGCAAAACAAACTCGAGAAAATTCATTATACGTGGTTTATAGACTATTACTGACGAAAACACGTACAAATCGATACTTCTTAGCAAGTAGGAAAAGTTTGTCTGATTTAAATCTACTAGAAACGATCGACAAAGAAAATCGCTGACTTTAACAATAAAATTGTATTGTATCATTAGAATCAATACTAAAAGTTTTGATTCCAACGATTATATCAATTGTATTACCGATAAAATATAATTTTTCTGACTACTATCTGTGGCTGAAAAATTGCACGATTACCCTAAAAATGTCGCTACTGCCTGAGACGCTATATATAGCCGAACAAATAGACGATTAATAATACTGAATTATTGTATTTGAAATATTATTTATGGTTTAAAGACTTCGTCATAATGACGTAAGCGCGTAAAAATCAGTACTTTCTTGCAGCTGCGAAACGTCCGTTTGATTTATATCCACTAGAAACGAGCGCTGAAGTAAATTGCAAACGTTAACATTATAATCGTATCATATCGTTAGAATCAATACTTTTAATTTATCGGACAGTTTGATTTATATACAAAAGCCGCAATAAAGATAGCGTAATATATCTTGTCAGCTGTGGCGTATACTGTACTTTAAACACAATCTCGATGAAGATATTAATATATTATTATTGTCATCGAGCTTAACAGTGTTATTGTTTTACAATACGCCAGCATAAGTACGAGAAACCTTCAGCCATCTAGAAGACGACGATCCATCGACTTACACACGGCAATCGAGTCAAAAATATTCGGACTGATGATCGATAAACCGTAACTATACCATTAATACATTTATAAACGAATTATTCAAGTGCTGGAATTACTGCAAGCGAGACTTTTCATAATGCTATTTAATCCTTTCGTGTATATTTATATTATTAGTTTATTAATCTTTTCGACCGTTATTGAGACGGGGGGGAATAGAAATAAGGAACATCAATCTAGTTGGGATGCAGTTTTGGCTGACCCTGAACCGGAGTCGGGTATAACTGCCGTCGACATATCTTTGAGCGATTATAAATCTACTCGGAATGATCCTAATAATGAACCTTGCAAAGGATTGACGAGATGTCATGAAGAGAGATCGAATGCGAAATTTGAATGCACTAGCAGTTTGAACGGAGAATTTGTTAATTGGAATTACCAAATTAGCTGTTGGTGCTGTACTGTTTAATATATAACGTAGAATTATGCGATGAATTTCGGATAGTATGTGATTTATTTTATTGAAACTAAAATTGTTATTATAATTAAACATTTGTTAAAATTAGAACTCTGACGTCAATATTGAATTGATGAAAAAATTGTATAAATTGTATTTTCTATTGAAAGACAATTATTTTAAATAAAAATATTGATTGAACTAAATGATTTGTTTTTTTTTTTTTTTTTTTTTACCCAAGTAGTGAAATAAAAGCGCAAACAATACATTTTACTATCTTACGTATTAATAATTTTTACGCGTTGCATTTAAGTTTCAGTTTAACACTTTACGTAAATCATATTAAGCTATCAAATAAATGGTGATTTTATATTTTTAGAACGATCAAGATCGAGTTGAGTTGATAATTATTTTTGTATCACCATATTAATTTGATCGTAACATATTACGTTGACGGTTTATAATTATACAGTGGTGATATTTTTCATAAATACAGGTTCATAACTATTTGTCCGTTTTTCGCTAAAATTAAATGAAAATCAAACAAACAGAAACTACCAATCGCAACTCGAAAACCATCTCGGATATAAAAACATTAAACATACAAAGAATACATAAAAAAATAGCTGATACAGAGGACGGGTGTGCCACTGTTGTAAGTGGAAAGTTGTGAAGACAGGAAATAATAAAGTTCTTTAATTTATAATCTGTAAGCAACGATAAACCATTGCTAACGAAAATCGATTTTGAGCGTAGTTCGCTTATATATGTTTTGAAAGGCCGTAATATTCGCGATTTTTATTAAAAAACATATGATAAAAAAGTAAAAAATACTATGCAATACACTCATTTTTTTTTCATCATTCTTTTTTTTTTTTTATCACTATGAACAACTTAGCTGATATTTTAAATGTTGCAAATGTCCATTTGTTGCTATTAGGAATAAGTCGATTAATATAAAAATATTTTCGACAAAATTCGACATCGATTTATTAGTACATAAATGTGTACATATACACATTATGCGTTAGAATATGCACTATACAATATAAATAAGAGCCACGTTGTAGCGCTTGTGGTGAATCGGTAATTTACAACTATTATATTTGGTGACTTAAGTTTCGAAACCCTTCGTTTTGTTCCGGTATCGCCGTAGAGTTATACCTGATATAATACAATTTAGAGTGCGACACGTTTTCTATATTGTACGTGAGTTAATTCATTATTTTTTTGGAATAGGAATGAGACTATTGTAGTTCTTTTGTTTTTAACACTGAAATTAATTTAATTCAATTTATTTGGATTTTGAGCATGTTAATTCTAAGAAGTAAGAATAGTTTCCAATTTAATTTAATTTTTGAAAATATATTTAGTAAAAATTTGAAAGATAAAAAAAAAATATAATTTATGAATCTACCGCCTTCAAGCTATGTTTGTGGTGGTGAAAAAAAGTTATAATTTATATCACTAAAATTAAATAAACGATCCACAAATATAAGAACAATTTGTCGATAAGATTATATATATATATATTATAAATACATAAAATAAAAATAAAATATAAAACAAAGACCTTTTTTGAGGATAAAACTAATAAATCTAATATACATTATGATGAACAATATATAATTTCATTTTTTGATATGATTTTTAGTGATCAAGTCAGCGTGAATGAAGTATTACTAATTCTTGAAAAAAAAAAAAAAAAAAAAAAAAACAACACCAGGCTATGATAGAATATCAGTAAAAACTTTAAAATACACCGCAGAAAATATATCAGTACCCGTAACTTTAATTTATAAAAACGGCAATTGAACCAGCATCAATAACTAGAGACTTATTAATTATATTTTCGATTTCTAGATTGGATAGTTTTGAAAAATATATTGTTGTTCATAAGGTTAAAATAATGTTATGTAATATTAACGATTGTATTAAACCGATTATTTTGATGTATTTGAAAATATTTTCGAATAGTAAACATTAGATTTTTGTCTGTGTTGTGATTTAGTATTATTTGAGGAAAATCAAATTTGTTAAGTTATCATTTTATGTTGTTTGCATGTAAAGGAGCGGTTTGGTCAACCGGGAATTCGGGAGTTTTTCCGATGAACTGGACTGATTCGTAGGCAAATAATTTTCAATATTTTTTCTAATTATTGTTTAATTTAATAAACAAATTGTGAATGTTAATGAATGTTTTTCGATAAAAAAAAAAAAAAAAAAAAAAAAAAAAAGTAGGAAAATAAACAATAGAGACGGTCATCTGGATTAGGTATTGCAGATTAGTCAAATTGTTATTATTTAATGTTTATGATTTCATTTGATCTGTGTTATTAGTTTGTATAATTATTATCACAATTAGCGTGTAAATTACAATAATAAATCGACGAGCATATACATTTTCAATAAATATATTATAAAAAAAAGATAAATTTTGATAATATTTGAACCCAAATATACTTGAAACGTTTACAGAACAACCTAGATTGCAATTAGAACATATTGATATTGTCACAATATGTTTTCAAATGTTTCTAACAATATAAATTAAAACATATCGTAAAAATATGTTATAAGCATTTATTTTAAAATATTGTAAATCAAATATTATAGACATATGTTTTATTTGTGTTCTAAATGATGTTTAGAAAAACATAATTCAAACATAAACTGCAGTGTATGTAAATAAATACATTTCTTTAATAAAAAATAAAAATAAATAACCATATATCGAGACGGCGAAATCATAACATTGATATTTTAAAAATATTTTACTGATCTTAAAAAATTAAAATATTTTATAAATAGTAAACATGCATGAAACTATGCAATCGGTAAACAATTATCGGTCACAATAATAATGTTTAATAAATCGTTATTTAATGGTATTTAATAAATACTTTATCAAAGTAATAGACCTTTGGTACCTAGACACTTATAAAAGTTGAAACACACTAATTGATCGTCGGCAAAAATAACGATAATAATATTATTCACTACTTTGATAAACCCATTTGAAAGTGGAAAAAAACACAATGGATACTATATTTTTTCGTAATTATTTTTATTTTCAAATGAAGGAACGAAAAAAAATAAATAAAGTAAAATCCATGGGACCGTGGACCACCTATGACAGGCTCACGGACCACTAGTTGGGAAACATTGTGTTAAAATAATTACATATACATTATACATTTTTTTTTTTTTTTCAAATCATTTTTTTAACATTGTACCTATTTTCTCGTTTTTTCTACGTTTTCCCCATTTATCGGGATAACTCTAGAGAAAATAAAAATATTACCCCCTTAAAGTATCACCCCGGTCAGATTTTCTTATAGAAAAAGTGCAATCGTTGTAAATCGGAGAAAATTTGCTGGTAGAAATGTTGTTCATAGGAAAAAAAAAAACATTATTGTAAAACTAATACATTCCTCGATTCACTAAGAATCTAAAATGACGTGGGTCCTTTAATGCGATAAAGTAAAAACATTCAGTATTATTAGGGTTCATTGCGTACGTTCGACCAATAGCATCAGAAGTTTCATATCGTATGTATAGATTGCATAGGTATGAGATTAATCGAATTTTTATGGTTTTACGTATTTTTACTGAGAATACAGAACCACAATTTGATGACATTATTCAACGATTAATTTTCTTATGAACCCATATACAAGTATTAACAATAGAATATTTTGTATATTTTGTTGTTTTATTTTTACATTATTTTAATTGTATATAATATTTTGGCCTATCGCGTAGTATTTTGGAAAATATATTATTTTATTGTGTAATAAACCATACCTAATGTCATTATAAACACGTGAACTGTAGACTAAATTAATTCTGGGGATGGATGTTATGTTCCTGAATTTTGTTTGACTATTTTACGCTTATGTAAATCCACATGTTGGTGATTTTATATACATTTTTACGTTGGTATACTTGTTTAAAATTATTATATTTAACAAATGAATTGTAGTTCGTACGTGTATAAAATCAGTATGTTATCAGTGATAAAGACACTGTTTCCATTGTTATCAAAATAATTATTATCCACAAAATTTTTTCTCCTGAACAGTTTTGAAAAATCGACTCATCTGGTTGTTACAGGGAGCCCTTCCCATTGAGGTGGTCTCCGACCTAATAAAAATTATCGAAATGGCCCGTGGTGGTAAAAAGGTTGAGGGACTTATTATCTTACCTTTCTTTTTCTTTTTTCCTTTTGCTTGGTAGTAATTCGAGGGCAACAGATGAGGGCCCTAGCAGTGGCCTAAACCAGGGCACTATTGAACAGGTGAGGGTCTTTTTGAATAACCCCCGTTTAATAGCCTTAGTAGAATATATTGTCGCGGGCATTCGAAGTTCTAGTTGCGCCACTGCGGCCGCGTAAACCGGACGAAAAATTATTACGAATTTGGAGTTTTTAATCACTAATCATACGTACATTAAAATAGCAACACTGAGAACTCGGCCGCCGCGCGCGTGTGAACCCGGCTATAATCGAAATGGCCATCTCAAAGTGCGTATATTATACTCGTATTATTATCGTTTTTTTTTTTGTTTTTCCATTTTCAAATGGCGTCGGCGGCCGGTAACAAGGACACATTGTGTCATTATGGAACTCACAATAATAATATCAACTCCGGGCGTCCACGCGTCTATTCAGGCCCGTCTCGTATTATTTTCGTGCCGCCGCCGCGCTCTCGCGCGGCCCATAAGTCCGCCTACGCGCATACCTATATGCGTACAGCCGTGTAGTTTTATATAACAACAATATAATATTATTGTACGGTGGGTGTGTGTGTGTGTGTGTGTGTGTGTGTGTGTACCCTGAGCCGGCTCGAAAGAAGGACGCCGTCCTCTTCTCCCGAGGCTCTCCTCGAAGACGCGCCGCCGCTCCGAGTATTACGACGACCACGACGACGACGACGACCACGACGACGACGACCACGACGACCACGACGACCACGATGATTTATACCGCGCAGTGTTGTTGTACTACTGTCTAATTTTTCTTCTTCGCGCATAACGCCGTGATGGATACGCGGAGACACGAGCTGACGGGCACCGGAGACGTGGAAATATGCGCCGGCCGAGGGATACCTCGCGCCGTGGATTCGTCCGAAATAAAAAAAAAAAAAAACCAAGATAAATTAGCGAGCACGCGCGCGTCCATTAAAATCTATTATTTAAACGAAACCCGCGTAACAGTACAATAATGATA